TTACGATGGGCTTGCCAAGGAGGTTATTATTTTTGCTTTTTCATGCATTTCTGGGATTTCTGGCATAATGCTTTTAGGAATGTTACCCGGAGGTTGTATTTGATTGCCAGTCCAGCAATGACCTTTTACCCTCCCCTCTAGTCTTGCATAGCGAGTCCTTAACTCTTTATTATTTTAATAGATTTTAAAATGTAATAAATTGTTGATTTGGTCATCAAGAAACATTTCTTATTATTATCAATGTTGGAAAGAGTCCTGCTTAATATTTTGTGGAAACCTTGATAATTTTTCCAGGACTCTTTGATAGATGGCAATTTCAAAAGAACAATTTATTTGAAATAGATTTGTATAAATGACTTCACTGTTACTTTTGATCAGTTTAATGTGTGCTTACTGAATAAAAGTGTTTTTCCCCATTGCCCATTTATAATAGAAGCTTTTCTGACTTTCACATGTAGGATGGTTTCTTTCTAACTCTTTCTAAACGGCCTCACAATCACAAAAAGCACAAATGTGTGTAAATGCTATTTATTAGTGTGCTTTACATATTTAAACATTTTACGGAACATGCTTGTATTAAATCTGAGTTTTTGTGCTGTTTCCCTTGTTTGTTTGAATAGTATTCGTAAACTCAGACAATACAGTAAGGCGTATTTACTGGGCCAATTGAGTTTAAACTGACTGTTATATTAAAAATACCTGTTGTGGTATTCTTTATTGATTCGTAAATTGTTCCTCATCCATCCAAACTTTTCCACCTCCTGAGGTTGACAACTCCCCTACTGCCTTTTATCCTGGATTACAATACCTCTTGAATAGATTGAAACAACCCTCAGAGGGCAATCTGTCAGGAGATCTGGCTATAGTCACCCTTGTGTCTGCATGTTTGCCAGAGTCAATAAGCATTTTCACTTGTTCCTCTCTCTCTGCAGACTGGATCAGCTTTATGGCATGTTGGAGCTAATAAGTTAAAGACAACTTCACACACTGTCTGCATGAACGAATTCCAACACTTGCTAATGCCTTCCTTACGGCAGGTCTCCTTAACCTGTTTAACTCCATTCCTGTTTTTGTCTGCACTTTAATGTTATTAAATGGTGGTATCTGTTGACAGACATTTTCTATGAAAGATTAAATGCAAAAATTTCTGTTTAATGCAGGGTTATTATAGTTAACTAAAACTGTTAAAAAAACATTTGTTCCTTGAAATAGAATAAACTTCAACTGAAATAAAATGAAAACAAAAAAACTTATTTTACTTTAGCTTGTTGCCAAAAGCAATATTTCTCTTTTTTATTTTAACTTAAAAAAATTTAATTAAATTAAAAAAACATTAAAACGGCTAATAAAACTTCCAAAATCAAAAAATAAAACTACTAAAACTTTAACTAAAATTAAAATGAAAACAGAATAAATATATAAATAAAACATAATTCAAAACTATAATAGTATCTCAATGATGCTTTAATGCAACATTCACAAACTAAACCAGAAGGAGACTCTTTATTTGAGTGCCAAGTTACTCAATATTTTCAACTCTATTTTATTTTTTGATATCCACTAGGGTCCTACATCACTGCTGGTGTTTATGCATTGATTTAGTGGCTTCCCTCGTGTGTATTTGTGAATCGGTTTGGTTGGTAAGCAAACAGGATGGGGTGTGTGTGTGTGTGTGTGTGTGTGTGTGAGAGACCGAGGGAGAGACAATGTGAGAGTGCGTCCTGCACCTGCAGGGCTACGTCAGTGGTGTGGTAGTCAAGGCAGCCTTGGGGTCAGAGACGGCAGGCAGGGTATCTGTTTAATGTCCCGGTGAGCAGCCCTGAATTTATGAACTCAGGGAGAGGGGGAAATGATAACGTGTGGGAGAGGAGAGGATAGCTCATGCTTGTGTCGTCTTTTTCTGGTAGGAATGCCTCCTTTGCATTCTTTCTCCCCACACTGAGGCAAATGCTAGTTCGGTCTCACTGTAAGCTCTGTGATGTCCATATAGAGAGGCTGTTATAGTTTTAACACAGGAACGGAACAGACACAATTACCAAGGGGAGGAGATCTTCTATTTCCCTGGTATATACACACACAAAAACCAAAGATAACACTTTAGTATAGGGACCAGTGACACCATTAACTACACTCTTAAAAATAAAGGTGATTCACGATGCCATAGAAGAACCTTTTTGTTTAAATGGTTCCATAAAGAACCTTTAACATCTGAAGAACCTTTCTGTTTCGCAAAAGGTTCTTTGGGGCGAAAGAAGGTTCTTCAGATTATAAAAAGGTAAGAAAGAGATGGTTCTTTAAAGAACCTTTGACTGAATGGTTCTTTGTGGAACCAAAAATGGTTCTTCTATGGCATCGCTTGAAGAACCTTTTGAAGCACCTTTATTTTTAAGAGTGTAGTTGCTTATTAGCGTGCCTATTATTAACACATTGGCTGTTTATCAGTACTTATAAAGCACATATTCTGCATGACCATATTCTACATCCCTAATCCTACCCAATGACTAAACTTAACAACTACCTTACTAACTATTAATAAGCAGCAAATTAGGAGTTTATCGAGGCAAAAGTCATAGTTAATGGTTTGTTAAAAGCGAGAATTGGACCTTAAAATAGAGTCATAATTGAGTTATTTATAATGACGTTTCCAAGCTCCACATAATGAAAGTGAATGGTGATCATGGCTATTTGGTAGGGATGCACAATATATTGGTTATTGGCTTATATTAGATTTTTAATTTAAATATTGCTATTTTGAATTTATTGGTATTAGTTGAAACTGGATATTTAATTGTTCAGCTTATTTTCCTGTTTTTACATTTAGTTTACTTTATATATATATATAATTGAGATGCACCTGTATTAGCTGTTTCAGAATGAATAAGTTATATGGACGGTTTTTACAATGCATCCTTTGTGGAGCATCACAGCTCCTGATCTCCATCCACTTTCATTGTATGGAAGAAAGAAAGTCATACGGGTCTGGAATGACATGAGGGAAGATTTTCCCTTGAATTTCAGTTTCTGTTCTTCACAGCTGCGTCATGTCAAGAAACAAAGCATTTTGTTGGTTGCTTGGTTTCTCTGAGCAGAGTAATCATGCCCAAAATGAAATCTCATTGGGCCAACAACGCGTCCCAGATAGTGAAAATTAATCTGATTGTCTGTGATTTTATTGCTTTCAGTTTTGTGCAGCATTTTCACCTACGGTGGGGACAGAAAAATTGGAAAGCGGATGTAATTATCGGCTAGATAAGGGTGGAGCGGTGCTTAAAGCTGTAGAGCACTTGTCTCCTTTTCCACCTCCCCTGCCCCTATAGATGAAATCTATCCGTGGGCCCATGTGTGACAGTGCATTCTTTGATTCCATCTGCCTTTAGAGCGAGAGAGCCTGTGACTTTATTGTGGTGACTGGTTGGGAAAAACCTGCCATTTCTAATAACACTGGCTTGAAGCAGTTCGGACTTTGAGCATGTCAAGTTCCATCTGAAAGAGATTTGGGAACCCTCAGCATGAATAAAAACATACAAATGGATTTAATCAGTTTGAAAAGAGCTCGGAAGGGCTGCTGTTGGCCCTCGCCGCTCACATCAGTGCAGCGTATCTCAGCGAACACAGCCCCTGCTGTGAAGACTGGGACAGACGGTGGAGAACTTTGCTTCACTAGTCCTACTTTAACCCTATAAAGCCTATTTTGTCATATTTGATCCTAGGCCTCTAAAATATTAAAATGATCAAAACTGCTGGAAAACCTGTTGCGCACAATCTACTTCATTCCTTCTGCCCTCTGAGAGACGGTACATACTTTTTAGCAAGTAAAGGACAGTCTAGTGTGAAAATGTCCAAAAACAACCCCCTTCAGGTCATGGTACACATGTCTTTTTGCTGTAAAAGCTAAAGTAAACATATTAATAACATTTATATTGTTATTTTTTAACATTTCAAGATGAACACTTGAAATTTGTTGATTTGCTATGGCAAAAAGTGTGTAGCCTGGATTGTAGTGCCTTGGAGTTACACCAGCTTGTGTGAGGTAGAGACCAAGATTTTAATTTAAACAAGAGGCAACTTGATTATTTATACATTATTTTGTACAAAAATTAAATATGATACAACAAACTTTTGAAAAATGTTTATTTGTACATCTCTTAGTCATCATTGTATTGTTTGCATTATGTTTTACCCCACACATTTGACACTACAATGCTTTGATATTTGTAGTGTGCTATACTGTTTAAAAAATCTATTTGATTCTCATTACAAGCAGAATTTCATCTTACTTTTTTTACAATTGTACCTCGTTTCATATTTTTGCTCAGTTTGGTCCCTCGAATAAACCTGAGCTTTATATTCTCTTTATACAGGTCTCTTTATACAAGTTTTTTCATATGTCAGTATGTCACACTGATCTAGTTTATTTATTTTGCATTGTATAGTATATGGGACCATTTAGAGTTTTCTGTTGCTTACTTTGTAATGTCAGAGTATATTGTTTTTTGCATGTTAATTGGTTTAGCCTGTCTAGCCTGGATTGTAGTGCCTTGGAGTTACATTTACATAACTCACAATATTCCCACAATTAGTTTAAATATGTCCTATGATGAGTGATTCTTTAATACTTAGCCAATTCAAACATTATTATTCAAACACTTGTGAGATGCATTTACGTGTAATCTCATCTCAGAGACACACAACAATCGTGGTAAAGGAATCGGCCTGCGAGGCTGTGGCCCATCGATACTCTTTGGAGCGAGAGAGTGAATTCCCTGTGACCACACAGAGTGACCATTGTTCTGCACTGAAGGCAGCTGGGTATCAGAGATGCCATTTATCTTCTTATCTCCCCTCACTCGCAGTTAACCTCATCTGTGAAGAGCAGCAGAGCTACGTCAGCAGACCTGGAACAGACGTCTGCTCTTGTCTAAACAATGAAGACCATGTCTTACAACAATCCTTATATTGAAGTGAAAATTTAGCTAAATTTAGTTTTCACCTTTCCACAGGTAACCCAGGTGTGGTGGGCTTCTACAAAACATACATGTGGACGCTGTATCAGACGTTCATCCGGAGATATCCAGTGTGGGCTGTGAGCCATGCTGGACACTGTATGCCTCCAGAAACCTATGATATGATTGAAGGTGGGATATTTTCCTCTTTTCATACACTACACAGCCAAAAGTACATGTGGACACCTGCTTTCTAATTATTCAGATTTGGCTATTTCAGCTATGCCATGACTAACAGATGTATAAAATCCAACATACAGTTACGGTACAGTCCTTCTGAAGGTGAAGTGATCAGAAGTGGCCCATATTGAGAACAAAGAAGGACAATCATGTAAGTGGTTGACATATGATCTGTCCCAATTCTGAGTTGTTCATGGCCTTCAAAGTAGCTTGTCGTTTTAAAAGTTAATTCAGAGTGTCAGCCTTTTCAAATGTGAACTATATTACAAGTATCTGTCTGCAGATGGTCAAAATAGTTTTTCTTCTCATGAGATAACATTTAAGCATTTCTTAAAGCTTTTTGTTTTTGCATAAATGTCATAGAGAGAACGATCATAGAGTGATCTGCAGAAAGCACTGTTTGCTGTCCTCTCACTCAGCATTATGTCATTACCACTGTTATAAATGAGACAGTAGATGGCAGCAGATAATTAAGTGACTTTGGTTATTTAGGGGAATAATTGTTTATAATTTTGTAATTTTTAGATGGTTTCCCCCTTTATTTACCATTCAAGATATTATTATTATTATATAATTGTTATTAATTAATAATATGTATTCTCATTATTCGACTATAATTTATAAATGCTATTATTTTTAATAATTAATTGTATTCATATAAAATATTAATTGATTTAATTATTTTTTTAAATATTGCATTTGGTTATCGCTTCTTTTTCTCGCAATATTGCATGGTTCAGGTTCTTGTATCAAACAAACACTGCCCTTGAAGTCCCCGACAGACAGATTCAGACACCGCCGTACTCTGTCCAGACTGATATGCTGGTTTGTAGTGTCTGTCAGGTTGCGGGATGCTCCTCCTGGAATCCTTTCACAGAGCGCACAGTAAGGTGGAATGCATTGGGGACTGACGAACGAGCCAAGCCGTGTCTCCAGAGCCGCAGCCCTGCAGAGTTTTGCTTCAACCCTAATCAAACACACCTGAACAAGCTAATCAAGGTCTGAACGGTTATTAGGAAGCTACAGGCAGGTGAGTTTTAATTAGGGTTAGAGCTGAACTCTGCAGGGCTGCGGCTCTCCAGGACCGGAGTTCGCCACCGCTGTTATAGAGTATATTGTGTTTTGCGTAAAAATTTGGTTTACTATCTAGCCTGGATTGTAGTACCCTGGAGTTACATTTACATAACTCGCAATAGTCCCAAAATTAGTTTATCTCCAATGATGGGTGATTCTTTAACACTTCAAACATTATTGAAACATTGGTGTGATTCGTTTACGTGTACTCTCACCTCACAGACACACACAACAATTATGGTAAAGGAATCAGCCTGTGAGGCTGTGGCCCATCGATGCTCTTTGGAGCGAGTGAGTGAATTCCCTGTGACCACACAGAGTGACCATTGTTCTGCACTGAAGGCAGCTGGGTATCAGAGATGCCATTTATCTTCTTATCTCCCCTCACTCGCAGTTAACCTCATCTGTGAAGAGCAGCAGAGCTACGTCAGCAGACCTGGAACAGACGTCTGCTCTTGTCTAAACAATGAAGACCATGTCTTACAACAATCCTTATATTGAAGTGAAAATTTAGCTAAATTTAGTTTTCACCTTTCCACAGGTAACCCAGGTGTGGTGGGCTTCTACAAAACATACATGTGGACGCTGTATCAGACGTTCATCCGGAGATATCCAGTGTGGGCTGTGAGCCATGCTGGACACTGTATGCCTCCAGAAACCTATGATATGATTGAAGGTGGGATATTTTCCTCTTTTCATACACTACACAGCCAAAAGTACATGTGGACACCTGCTTTCTAATTATTCAGATTTGGCTATTTCAGCTATGCCATGACTAACAGATGTATAAAATCCAACATACAGTTACGGTACAGTCCTTCTGAAGGTGAAGTGATCAGAAGTGGCCCATATTGAGAACAAAGAAGGACAATCATGTAAGTGGTTGACATATGATCTGTCCCAATTCTGAGTTGTTCATGGACTTCAAAGTAGCTTGTCGTTTTAAAAGTTAATTCAGAGTGTCAGCCTTTTCAAATGTGAACTATATTACAAGTATCTGTCTGCAGATGGTCAAAATAGTTTTTCTTCTCATGAGATAACATTTAAGCATTTCTTAAAGCTTTTTGTTTTTACATAAATGTCATAGAGAGAACGATCATAGAGTGATCTGCAGAAAGCACTGTTTGCTGTCCTCTCACTCAGCATTATGTCATTACCACTGTTATAAATGAGACAGTAGATGGCAGCAGATAATTAAGTGACTTTGGTTATTTAGGGGAATAATTGTTTATAATTTTGTAATTTTTAGATGGTTTCCCCCTTTATTTACCATTCAAGATATTATTATTATTATATAATTGTTATTAATTAATAATATGTATTCTCATTATTCGACTATAATTTATAAATGCTATTATTTTTAATAATTAATTGTATTCATATAAAATATTAATTGATTTAATTATTTTTTTAAATATTGCATTTGGTTATCGCTTCTTTTTCTCGCAATATTGCATGGTTCAGGTTCTTGTATCAAACAAACACTGCCCTTGAAGTCCCCGACAGACAGATTCAGACACCGCCGTACTCTGTCCAGACTGATATGCTGGTTTGTAGTGTCTGTCAGGTTGCGGGATGCTCCTCCTGGAATCCTTTCACAGAGCGCACAGTAAGGTGGAATGCATTGGGGACTGACGAACGAGCCAAGCCGTGTCTCCCTCCTCTGCCTGAACCAGTATATGAATGTCCAGCATGTTCATCCATTAAGCAGCATGGATGTTTTTATTGAACTCGCTATGTGGGAAAGACATTACCAAGCCCTCACCTGTAATAAGACAAACCACATGCAGATGGCTGGGATCTCCAAAAACAGCATTTCTACTGGCTCGCTTGATGGATTGGACAGTCTAGGTGAACGTTGGTCACATCAGGTCTACTGTCCGGACAGACAAGCTTGCACTTCTCAGTATGTCATATTGTGGTGTATTTGCCACCAGATTAGCAGAAATGACCAAAATCAAATCAGTAGATCTGGCAGAACAAAACTTCCTGCAGAGCATCTGAAATTTTCAGCAATCTTGTTGCTTGTTCAGTATATATTATTTTTACAAACTGAAGTATCAGACAATTGCTTTTTTATTGTGAACACATGGAATACTTTTTACCGGAATCACAGTCTTAAAGTATTTAGTGACAGACAGCTGATCTCTGGCTCACACAACAGACGATGACATTCATTGCTGTTCATATCATGTTGTGCAATCACAAGCTGGATGATTAAAAGTCAAAACTCAGCAGCGGATTCAAATGTGCCAAGAGATGACAACAAGCGGCAGGCGTTTGCCAAGCCAGTGCAGATGAAAGAGGGGATGCAATTAAAAGTTATATTTCATTTCCCCAATCTCGCTATTTGAGTGACATTCTTGATTACAATCAATGGCCGTCTTAAGCAGGGCGGTATCAAACACGCTGGGCTTTTCTTTCCACGGTTCATCTCAATGATCCATCCCTCATCATGTTCTGCCATTTGGTTCGCAGATGCCCCTGTCCGAGGAAATAGCTGCTTGTGTTGCTTCACATTGCTGAGGATTTAGTATATCAGACTGTAATCAACTGAAAACTCCTAAAGAGATCCTCGAAAGCTTTTGTTTTTTATAATGCAGGCATGTGCAGATTTTTTTTTAATGTTAGATTAAATGAACTATTTAAGTGATTGTTCATTGTTTGGATAGTTTCTTTCAGTAATTATTTAGATGCTTTTTTTTGCAGGCTAAAAGGGCAATGTTGGCTCAACCAATGGCACAACGTGAGGGCGGGACTACCTTCTGTTTATGGAAACTAGTGGAACAGAAATTATCTAATTAATATGTAAATAATTAGGGTTATTAACTTATTATTGTTAACTAAAACTGTTAAAAACTATTTTGTTGATTGTAATAAAAATAAAATAGAATGTAAATATCAGATAAAATTATTTAAACTGATCAAAAATTAAATGTTACAATGGCAACTAACTGAAATAAGATGAAGAGCTAAAATTACTAAATGTAAATAAATAAATAATTAAAACTATAATAAATGAAAATAGTGATTAAAAAACTAATACAAATGACTTAAAATAACATTTAAATGAAAACATTAATTTAACATATTTGTAAAAACTATGATAGTATATAAATAATACTAAAATAACACTGGTTTAAATTATTTTTTAATTTAAAATAATTTTTAAATTAACTAAATTTACATTTATTACTTTGAAATTCACTATTTAAACTATTCGAAAAGCTGATTGTAGAATTTGGTTTCCGTAAGACGATGGCATCACGGACTTGGGCATCAGATCTAGTTTGCGGTTTCGTCTTATGATGACCCTTCAAACAGCTTCAGGTTTTCAAATTCAACTTCCTTGTCCAGAAGTCACTGGTGGCTTTCCATGTGAATGCTGCCCATTGATTTACTGCTGTTCAAAGGGCTCTTGGTCAGCCAGCGGTCAGCAGCAGGCACAGCCATTCGGAACCCACAGAAACCTCACTTCATCCAGAGACTTCATTGAGTTCATTGATGAGATCTTAAACTCTCAATGCCAAACATTTCAGTCCCATTGGCAATACAGGGCTAGTCGTATTTAATGGCATATATTAAGTGATATTACATCCATGTGTCTTGGAAACATAAACAAAAGCAGGGGGAAATGGTAGTGGGGTAAACATGCCAAATCTCTGTGGAGGAACTGTTCCTGTGGTTGGCGATTCGTGATTGATGCCTTTTGATTACAGCAAAAATATCTGTTAATGCAAACATGGGGAACATTTTGGACTTTGCCAATGTCAATAACCCTGCCCTGGGTCAAGCCGTCCTCCAGACCTACACATCTCATTCATTTTGTCAGAGCGTGTTAAGAGAGCTACTACTCAAAATCTACTTTCCCTTCTCTG